TCAAAAGTTTAACATGCAAACACATATAGTAAATGCCATAAAAAGGATATGACACCCAGAGCAATTGATATTCAGGTGATTTCTACCCTTGTTTTATACAAATGTGGTATTTGGAGTGATGGGGTTGAAAGTCAGTGAAAAACTAGATTGTCCATTTCTAAGTCTTAGTTAATGCAGGCCATTGCACTCTGTAAGGATCTATTCTTATTTTCGCATTAGTTTTCTATGTGTGGTATTACTTCATTGGATGCTACTTTACTAAACTGTTATTTATCCACACACTGGTGCTGAATATAGTCTTTCTTAGGTATGTTAATATCTTTACACAGGTTAAAATCAACACACATAGCCAAGACTCATGCCAAGAGAACATTGGCATATCTTCCTTTACCCATTATATTATGCTTTCAGAGCTTAACCCTCAAATGGCCAACTTATTTTTTTTACTTATAAATATTTGTGAGTCAAATATTGTGAGTAGAACATTTTTAAAGATATACAAATATAAAAGTAGCAAAAAATAATCAATCTAATAGATTATAAAAATGGACCTCTACTAGATTACTAAAGAATGAAACAAAAGGACATTACTAAATAGGGCTGAAAATTTGAAAACATGGAAGCTCTATCTGGTCAAAAATTACTGAACAACTTTTAGAAAGCAATTTGCTGTATTTATCAAATTATGTCCATATTCATGAGCTAATAATTGTATTTCTGGGAGTCTATCTTGAATAATTTCTTTCCTAATTCTGTAACATAAAATTAAATGCGTATATATGTATATGTATATTGGAGATGATAAACTCTAGAAAATATAATCTCATGAAGAAATGGGTAAAGCAGTCATAAGGAGAAAAGAAACTTGTTGATTTTCTCAGTTCAAGAGTGTCATATTCACACTTATCTACCCACAAAAATTGGAAATTAAAATAAAAATAATAAAGTGTGTCATCTGAAACAGACTGTCATTTGTTCCTCTTTCTGAGAGAACATCACTCCACTCACATAATGAGCTAGAATAATTTTGACTTCAAAATTTGAAAAGGGTTATATTGATATTGCTAAAGTGCTTCATTTTTGTAACTTAGGTTTAAGAATATGCTGTTTTATAAAGTGTGCTCCCAGTAGAAAGATAATTTATGCAATTGAATCAAAAGTGAAATTTTTTATATAGTGTTTAAAACTGTGCTTTTCTTATAAGAATGTATAAGAAGTTGTCACATTTCCCATTTAAAAAAACGTAAATAGTCTTCCCACACAAGCACACTTTACATTTTTAAATGAAGACCTATAGAGGATATTTGTCAAATTTTTTTGGCCACCAAGCATCATAACCTCTGTGCCAAATATCTTTAATTCATTCCTCCAGACATAATCTCTATCCTTCCCCACCTGCTAGCTGTGCTGGCAGTCTTGCCACATGGAATATATTAGTGGGTTCAAATTCTTAGAGCTCTGTTTAGGTTCAGCAAGGGAGGAGTCTTGGTAGGAGATCAAATGAGGTAGGGAAGTGAGAAAACTCTCTTTTAGCTATCTCATTGAAAGACTATCTTGAATTGGCTACCTTCAATCAATGGCATTTTTCTCTGGTCAGTGCTTCTCTCTAGGTTGCTGACTATTAAAATAGCTGAAGTTATATTATATTTGATTGGTTAAATCTGTATATCCTACTATTATTTAATTTTAATTATCATTGGAGTTAGCCATAGTTTCATATTCTGTCCCTCTACTCATATTTCTATTGGATTATTCAGTTGTGTAGTTCCCCGAAATATTTAAAATAAAAATCCTTTTTGGTTGTATGCATTGAAAATAGCATCTTTCAGTCTCTAATTTGCCTTTTAAGTTCATCTTTGGGTCCTTTGTCATAAATAAAATTTAATATAAAATTTAATAAAAAAAAGAAGGGAAAATTCTAGGCCAATAGCTCTTAAAACCAAAAAAATTTTCATAAACTAAAACAGATTTACAAGAAAAAAACAAACAAGCCCATTCAAAAGTGGGCAAAGATTATGAACAGATCCTTTACAAAAGAAGACATACATCAGGCCAACAAACATGAAAAAATGCTCATCATCACTGACCATCAGAGAAATGCAAATCAAAACTACATTGAGATACCATCTCACTGGCTTGAGAATGGTATCATTAAAAAATCATTAAAAAATGATTGTCATTAGAATGGCAATCATTAAAAAATCTAGAGACAACAGATGCTGGAGAGGATGTGGAGAAATAGGAACACTTTTACACTGTTGGTGGGAGTGTAAATTAGTTCAACCATTGTGGAAGACAGTGTGGCGATGCTTTAAGGACCGAGAACTAGAAATTCCATTTGGCCCAGCAATTCCATTACTGGGTATATATCCAAAGGATTATAAATCGTTCTGCTATAAGGACATGTGCACATGAATGTTGATTGCAGCACTGTTTACAATAGCAAAGACCTGGAACCAACCCAAATGCCCATCGATGATAGACTGGACAGGGAAAATGTGGCACATATACACCA